GCAGTTGCGAATTCGGCAGCGAAGGAATTGGGGCCTGCACGCAGATGCGAATTCGGCAGCGCAGGAATTTGGGGCCTGCATGCAGTTGCGAATTCGGCAGCGAAGGAATTGGGGCCTGCACGCAGATGCGAATTCGGCAGCGCAGGAATTTGGGGCCTGCATGCAGTTGCGAATTCGGCAGCGAAGGAATTGGGGCCTGCACGCAGTTGTGAATTCGGCAGCGCCAGATTTGTGGCCCGCACGCAGAAGCGAATGGGGCAGTGCAAGATTGGACAGCCTGCACGTAGATGTGCATTCGGCAGCGCAGACATGGGGGTCTGCACGCAGATGCGGATTTGGCATCGCAGTATTTGGCGACCGTACCCAGGGTGCGCACTCAGTAGCGCACGAGAGCTTGCGTAAGTCAGGGGCTTGACTTAGCAAGATCTAAAACTTGGACGAGGGACTGTCCAAGGCATGTGGGTGATTCAGCAGCAGATGAAGCTAGGGCTGGCAGATGGAGCTGCCAGGCAAGCATGCAGAAAGTGGGAGCATAACTGGGGTGTTTCCAAGTTGCTGAAATCATGAAGCACATGGGGGGAGGAAGTTCTCCACTATATCCTAGAAATGGGGATATGGGTGAGCCACAAATGATCATGGGGATCATGGGGGAGTAAGTACCTATTATGTCCTGAAATATGGGGATCATGGAGGTGCCTCGCAGCTCACACACTTGGTTATAAATGGTGATGGTAATTCTTTGTTGTATAGGGTGAATACATAGAGAATAGAATGCATAGAGAGGAAATAACGTATGTAAACTTGTTGGTGTAGCATGCGAATTCTGTGCATAGCACACGTTGTGTAATCCTTTGTTAATGAGATAAATAAAGGTTGAGAGGTATTCTTGTATTCTCAGTGTGCTTGGTTAAGAGCAATTCTACTTGTGTATTCCGCTTGTCTTTAACATGGGAAAGTGGGGAAACCTCTCGGGTGAGGGAAACACTTAGTTAATAGGCAAACACGAGTGGATAGACGAGGGAAGGCTGAGTCTAGCGAGGGACTAGGCTGCCGCACGGGTTTATTCGCGTAGCGAAAAATTACCCCGTGACATAAAGCATAGTGGAGCCATCGTCCCTAGGCCATGGATGGTAGTGATTGTGAGGTCTTAGACGGTATTTGATAATGATTGAAATTGTATTTTTTTAAAAAAATTAATTTTTTTTATATTTTTAAATTATTTTAATATATTAATATTAAAAATATTTTTTTAAGTATTATTTTAATATATTTTTAAGTAAAAGATATTTTAAACTGCAACTATTAACACACTTTTAAATATCCCCTTAAAATATATAAGTGAAATAAGAGTTTTAAGGAAGTTATCTTGTAAGTGTCATTTGTTAGAGTCTGATTTAATAAGTACGATGACTTGTTATTTGATGAGTTTTGCAATGATCAGAGAAGATATTTGTAAATTTATTACATGAAATTTTTATATTTTTCAATAAAGTACCTTTAACCTCTCTAAGTTTAACATCCCCTTAGCTAGTGATAAGTAATGTGGTCCAAGTGATAGTGTTTGACTATTCTAAGACAAAAGAGACATGAACAATAAAAATAAAAATATGTTTGGTTGAAAAAACAAATATAAAAATAAATTTGTTTTTATGGATGATTTTGGATTGAATTTCTGTACTTTCAAAATAAAAGGTACAAATAAAACATGTTTCTAAAGAAAATATTTTTTTATTTTTTATTTTTAAATTGTCCTTGTAAAAAACTTTTGATTCCAAAATTATTTAACTAGGATATGTAAGGATAAAAATGATTATTATCATAGTTTTAAACCCCAACTCGGGGGTCGATTTGGGACAAAGCCTAAATTATTAATTAAGGTCGTAGTCACATGTCGGGTTGATCTAATTTGACATAAAAATAAAAGTCGTTATTATCATAATTTTAAAATTTAATTTAAGGGTTGACCTGAGTCCATGTAAGAATAAAAGAGGTTATTAATGTATTTTTAAAAATCAATTTAAGGGTCAATCCGCAACAATGCTCAGGTCACGAATGGGGTTCATCATTAAATCAAATCAACATAAGAAAAAGAGTAATTATTATCATAATTTTAAAACTTAATTTAAAAACTGACTCGAAACAATGTTCGAGTCATTTGTCACGAGGGTCAATCAGGATTAACTTGACTAATATAAGAATAAAAATGGTTATTATCATAGTTTTAAAACTCAATTCAGGGATCAACTCGAAACATGACCTAGATCACAGATTGGTTATGTTAACCTGAGTTGACATGGATTACTATAAGAATAAAAATTATTATTATTATAGTTTTAAAACTAGACTGGGGGTCAATTGAGGCAAGACCCAAGTCACAAGTTGGGAGGGTCAGCCTGAGTTGACCCGAGACAACGTATGAATAAAAAAGATCGTCATCATAGATTTAAAACCAGGTTGACCTTGAAAGTTAGCCCGAGGCGAAGTTCAAGTCATGTATCGGGAAGGTTAACTCTGTTGACCCAAAAAGGAATTTAAATAATCAAAGCATCTTGTTTTGATAAAAAAAAAAAATTAACAATTTTTTGACTTGTGTTTTATTCCGATTCAACATGGGTTTCTACCGAGTCAAGTTAAATCAATCTATGCTCTATTTTTTCTTAAATTTAAACTAATTGAGGCTCTAAATCAGCTTAATTTCGAGTCAATCTATCAAGTTGATTATGGTTTTATAACTGGGTTATTATAATATTAAAAAAAAAAAAAAAAAAACTTGTTTTGAAAAAAAATCTGGGTTATTATAATATTAAAAAAAAAAATAAAACAACTTGTTTTGAAAAAAATTTAAAAAAATCAACAAGATTTTTACCCGTGTTTTATCTTGGTTCAACTTGAGTTTTTTATAGAGTCAGACCAAGTCAATCAATGCTCTATATTTTCTTAAATTCGAACCAATTAAAGCCCTAGGTTAGCTTGATTCTAAGTTAATATATCAAGTGAGTCCTGGTTTTATAATCAGGGTTGTTATAATATTATAATTTCAACACTTAATATAAACTAAAATTAAAAATAATATCTAATTATTTTTAAAAAAATATATAAGTTTGATAACAACATATCTTAAAGGTAAAGTATACTTTTTTATATTTGATTATATCATGACCTTTAGAACCAAATATAATACAAAGATAATCAATTTGTCTTATATACAACTATGAAATACAATTATATTTTTATTTTTTTATGTCTTCATGATCTTTGTTTTTTTTGTCCCAAAACAATAATCAAATACTACAACATTGTTTAACTTTATATGTAAAAGCCATTTGAAATTAGCCCAATTGTCAATATAATATTTTAAATAATATAATTTTTTTCTCACGTGATGTTATGAATAAAAAAAAATGATATTTTAACAAGTTATTTTGTATTTTACATGGAAATTAAAGGGGAAGTGGAAGTTTAGAGGGATAAAATATATATAAAAACATTCTCTCTATTTTACAACTTCATTTTTAAAAAAACAAATGTGGCATTTAAACATTTCCTTTTTCTATCCCATTAAAGATTAAAAAACAGTTGAAGACTAATTATTTTAGTTGTTATTAGTATGTTAGCCTGCACTTTACAGCTGGTCAATATTAATTTTTTTAAAAAACATCAAAATAATATTTAATATATATAAAATATTTTAAGCGTTTTAGGCCTGATGGTCATGCAAGAGTCAAGCAAATTGGGTCTGACATCCAATACAAACCAAAGAGTCTTAGGTCTGGTGCTTAAGTTTTGCATGGTTATCAAGCCTAGGAGAATTTGGTCCAACAATTATGCCAAATCTAAAAGCTTTAGGTTTGATAGACATGTTGACCTAATTTTCTTGGGTCTAATAAAAATGTATGTGTATTAAATCACAACTGAGTCTAGCACTTAACAGGGTTGTTGTGCCTAATTTGTCATTAATTTGTCAGTTCGATATAATAGAAGGTTTGACTTATATTGAAGAATTTTTTCAACAATCTCAATTTGAAAATTTTTTTTGCTACTAACCAAATATTAATTATACAACAACAACAAAATTATTACAGGTAAGAAAGTAGTTATTTTAACTTTCATTTAGCATAAATACTGTCTTTATTTTTTTGAGTTAAGAGAATTATGATATAGTGAAATGCACTCGCAATATTATTTTATTTTTATACTAATTTAAAAATTAAATTGAGAGATGTTACATTAACAACTTTTTTTTGTTTTTATTGACACATATGATCCTCACTTTATTTTTTTATATATAAGTATTGATTTTATTATTCATATTTATATTTTTTTTATCAATTTTAAAAAACACATTAACAAAACCTACACATTTATCCTTTCACGTTAACAAAATTATCCAACCCATGACAAAATGAGTTGTCCAAATGCATGAGCACTTTTTTTTTTGTATTTATTAGTATAGATTATGAATGGTTCTTGATTTATTTAATTTAATAGATACATAAACTTCTGGATTTATGATCACAATTTTTTTTAAATGCATTGGAAAAGATTGCATATTAATTTTTTTTGTTGAAAAAAAATACAATTCATGGTAAAGCATTGGTCAAATAGCAGTGCATATTTACATGTTATTGCTAAATACTTTTAAAAAAAATTACTTTGGTCCTTTTATAGTTTAATTATATATTTTTATTTTATATTTATTGTTTCAAAAATTAAAGTTTACATCTCATAATTTATAAATTGCATAATATTTTATATCCGCATAAAAAAAGTAAGCAAAATTCCTCTCCTAAAGTTACAGAAAACAAAGTGAAAAACAACTAAACTAAACTATAGAAGAATAAGGTAATTTTTCCGTTTTTGATGAGATACCTTATATATATTCAAGTAATAGACATAACATCATATAAATTATCTTTAAAAATATATAAAATAGATGGATTATGTCAATTATGTTTTATGCAGGTTTAATAAAAATTAAAAAGTTGAATAAACCTAAAATAATAAAAAAGTTACTTTCTCAAAGTTCCCTAAAGATAAAAAAAAAAAATGGTTCGATATTTCTAAATAAAATAGACGAAAATCAATCTTAAGAAAAGAAGCTAAATAGGTAATGTCAACTATAGAGTTTTTTCCCATCAAGTTTCTGATTAAAAATCATTTTTAATATATCTTATAAAATTATTTATTTGCTAGTATAAATCATATAAATATAAAAATAAAAATAAAAATTAATTTCATAAAAAAAATACTAAACAAAAAAAACATACACAATTAATACTCGTATTATAGTTTTGAAACCGGGCTCAATTAGGTGGGTCTACCAGGGACTTAGGCGACCTGGAGCTAGAACTAGACCGAGTTGAAAACAACAAGAAAAGTTATGACTTGGTGTGACCTGGATGACCAGATGGGTTAATTTAATAACTTGATTGACCTGATAAAATCTGGTTGTAATCCGTTGATTTTTATTTTTTTTATTAAAATGATAATATTTTGAATTTTTTTTAAATAAAGATGGATCTTAATGACCGGTAATCCGATCAAAATCTCTAATTTAAACCTCTAATCAAACTAATTTTAAAAATTATGATTCATATTACACGGAGACCTGATAGAAGTCAAATGTTGGGTTAATAAAATAAATTTAGAGAAAACATAATAAAATTTAAATAAGAAATCAAATTAAAAACACAATTAATGATTTTACTTAAATAAAAAACAATCCAACTTACATATATGAAAGACGGCGTAATAAAATATATGGAAAATAATAGCCTGAAAAAATAAAAAAAATTCAAGAAGGAAAATTCTGAATAATAAAAAAACAGAAGCAAAGGACTGTTAACACCACACACCACCCATCCACACGAACCAGCATTTAAAAGCGAAGTCATTTTAGAACTCTGTTACTCTTCTCAACATTTCCCTTCTCCAACTCTCTCACTGAAAACAAATGGCGGCGGCTACATCCTTCTCCAATACCCTCACCATTCCAGCCCCTTCAAAAACCCTAAAGCCTGCATCTTCAAGATCGTTGCTATGTAACAGCAATTTAGGGTTTTCATCATCACTCTCTTCTAAGACCTTCAAACCACTCAAAGCCAGCAGTGGTAACATCTCTGCTGGAGTTTTGGGTGCTAAGATGGTCTCGTCGGTTCCCAGTGTGAAACCCATGATCTCTCTTGATTTTGAGACCTCTGTGTTTAAGAAGGAGAAGGTCTCTCTTGCTGGTCACGATGAGGTATTTACTTTATTTTGGAGTTATTTTCTAATTTTCGGTTTGAATGTAGATAAGTTCTTGAGTATTTTGAGTTGGATAAGAAAGATAAGATTTTTTTTTGCCGTGTTGTTTTTTAGAGTGGTAAAGAGAGATGCTTTATATGCTGTATTATGTTGTTATGGTTATGGATAGTGTTGTTTTGTGTATTTTGTGTAGTACATTGTGAGAGGAGGGAGGGATTTGTTCCACCTGCTGCCTGATGCATTTAAGGGGATTAAGCAGATTGGCGTTATCGGTTGGGGTTCCCAGGTGAATATTCTCTGTTTTTTTATGTTTTTTTTTTGTTAATTTTAGTTTATGTGTAAGTTGCCTCATATTTGAAGTATTGGATTTGTAGAAAGTGGCTCTATTTGTGCAAAACTTGTACACATCATTTATGCCATTGTCTGACTTTTGCTAGATAATCAATGATTTTTTATGTGCTTTAGTTTGGAATGCTTAACATAAGTTGCTAAACAATGATCCCTTGTTCCTCTTAGGGTCCTGCTCAAGCACAGAATCTGAGGGATTCTCTTGCTGAAGCAAAGTCTGATATTAAAGTCAAGGTAATTTGCACTTTGTTCTTATGTTCTGTTCTAGGTAGCTGTTTAGCAAAAAGCTTGTTTGATTGATTTTCCTGGCCGTATATTTGTATTGCTGCTTTGAATGATGCAGATTGGACTGAGGAAGGGCTCTCGTTCCTTTGCTGAAGCTCGTGGTGCTGGTTTTACAGAAGAGAATGGGACTCTAGGTGATATATGGGAAACTGTTTCTGGCAGCGATCTAGTATTGCTACTGTTTTCTGATGCTGCACAGGTTTGTTTATTAGTTCTGTTTGCATTTGTACCTCTGAAGATTTTCGGTTCAAATTTTGAGATTGCTTCTGTGTGTTTTCCTGTTTCTTGTTTTCTTTTAATTAGTGGGTTTGGAGGTTTTGGTAAAAATAGAAATGTTTAAAATTTGATATTTAACATACCTGTTCTCGTTGTGTGGAAAAATAAGCCAGAGAAAGATCTAGCATGTCTATAAAGCTACTCCATGCTGTTTCTCATTACCCTTTGTATGTAATCCTTGCAATATAGTGAAAAAGTTGTCAAATGTGCATCTTCTACTTGGACATTCTGTTTTGTATGTGAGGATAAGATGACAGTTTGGTTTTTTACGAAGAGTATGACCCAGAATCTTCAAGCAAACTCTTTTGGGAAGTTAGTTTCATAATCATTTCTTGGAGACTGCTCTTAAGTGCTCTGCATGTGGTAAATTTGTTGTGGCATATTAGGAAGGGAATGACAATGCTTCAGCTTTTTTTCTTCCCGAGAACATCATCTGTAGCTGTTTTTTTCGCTATCTTTTTTTTTCCTGTACTTTTTGGTAAACTAGAGGCATGGTGAAAGCAATCAAGTTTTTAAGAGTTTATCTTCTTTTTTTTCAAGTTAATGAAACAACACTTTTGTAGTTTATGGGCTGTCACATATAGTTCCATATCTTTTTTGTGGTTGATGATTACCTATTACATTTTCTGTCCTGTTTCTGTCAATGTTTTCCCCTTTGCAATTACAGTTTCATCTCTTGCAACAGGCAGATAACTACGAGAAAGTCTTCTCTCACATGAAGCCAAACAGCATTCTTGGGCTTTCCCATGGATTTCTTCTTGGGCATTTGCAGTCAACGGGACTTGATTTTCCAAAGAACATCAGTGTCATTGCTGTGTGCCCCAAGGGAATGGGTCCTTCTGTGAGGAGACTCTATGTTCAAGGCAAAGAGGTCAATGGTGCTGGAATTAATTCCAGTTTTGCAGTCCACCAGTTTCTTTGTGCCCCTGCCCCTGCCCCTCCACACACACACACACACACACACAAAATCCATCTGTTTTAATTAGGGGTTATTTCATTTCACTAACTCTTCATATTTTTATTCTTTTCTGTGTACAGGATGTTGATGGTAGAGCCACTGACGTTGCCTTGGGATGGTCTGTTGCCCTTGGTTCACCTTTCACATTTGCCACTACACTAGAGCAGGAATACAAGAGTGATATCTTTGGGGAGAGGGGTGAGTTTAGTTCCTTATTCCTTGTACTGTTATTATTTTGCTACTTTTCTTGCTTGATACCTGACTTTTCTTTATTGGTTTGCAGGCATTTTGCTTGGTGCTGTTCATGGAATTGTGGAGTCCTTGTTTAGACGGTACACTGAAAATGGAATGAGTGAAGATGAGGCCTATAAGAATACTGTTGAGTGCATTACTGGAACCATATCAAGGACCATATCAACCAAGGTGCATGCTATATTCAGACCCTCCTGCTACCAAACAGTTGTCTGCATCAATTTATTTAATCAGTGAAGCCAGGGATCAGTAGCCTAATTGATTTCGTTTCTTTGTTTCAACAGGGCATGCTGGCTGTATACAATTCCTTGTCAGCAGAAGGCAAAAAGGAATTCGAGACTGCTTACAGTGCCTCGTTTTATCCCTGCATGGACATCTTGTATGAGTGCTATGAAGATGTAGCCTCTGGAAGTGAGATTCGCAGTGTTGTGCTGGCTGGACGTCGCTTTTATGTATGTTCACACTTTCTGTTGCACCCACCATACTGAAATGCTTTTGAAACTATTTTTTAACTTGGAATTTGGGAACTGATATCTTCTTTTACATCTATGTTGAAGATATGATCTCTGTCCCCATAGATGAAGAGACTTGAAGCTTGTTTTATTGTGATGTGCTATTCCTTTTACAGGAAAAGGAAGGTCTACCAGCTTTTCCAATGGGTAAAATTGATCAGACACGCATGTGGAAGGTTGGTGAGCGAGTCCGGGCTGCCCGGCCAGCTGGGGACTTAGGTCCATTGCATCCATTCACTGCTGGTGTCTATGTGGCACTAATGATGGCTCAGGTACTTTGCTCTTGTTCTGAGTATGTTAGGACAACAAAATGTTGAAGACGCTGAAAGCATGGTATTTACTTGAAGTTTGTATTCATAGAAGCTGGGCTTATTTGATTTATGAATTTGAACTCGAATGAATAATTAATTTCTTTCTGTGAAATCTTATTTAATTTTCACCTGGTGGAACTGGTGAAACTGGAGAAAGAAGCTCGTAGTAGTTGGTGCTCCATTGTTTTTTGCTTTTCTGCTGTCTAATATCTATTGCTTCTTTCCAGATTGAAATATTGAGAAAGAAAGGCCATTCTTACTCTGAGATCATTAATGAAAGTCTGATTGAATCTGTGGATTCCTTGAATCCATTTATGCATGCCCGTGGAGTTTCTTTTATGGTTGATAACTGCTCAACCACAGCAAGATTGGGATCAAGGAAATGGGCTCCTCGTTTTGACTACATCCTCACCCAGCAAGCCTTGGTAGCGGTAGACAAAAGTACTCCCATCAACCGTGACCTCATCAGCAACTTCTTTTCAGATCCAGTGCATGGAGCCGTTGAAGTCTGTGCCCAATTAAGACCCACAGTTGACATTTCCGTGCCAGCAGATGCTGACTTTGTGCGACCTGAGCTCCGCCAATCTAGCAACTGAGATTCAAAAGGAGAACCTTTAGCTTGAAATAACCGGGAGAATTTTTCCATATTTGGTCTGATGGAGAAGCTCCCATGAGTTACTAGCAGAGTGTAGTTTTATTATGAACTCCTAGTGTGAGCTTGAGTACTGTCTGTCTGTCTGTCTTGTTCTGCATTAAAACGAGTATGTATTTTTTTCATGTCAGCATCTAAAGAGTATGCACTTGTATGAGCAGCTTAGTTGCCTTTCCACTATGCAGAAGTGAATTCTAGTTCTGTTGTGATATATGGAAGTTACCTCGCATCAGAGTAACCATATAGTACAATTGGAATGCGGGGGAAAAGGGAGGTCGAATATACATGCCATGACATGGGAGAGATGCGCTCTTCTTTCTGATTTTGTCTCCACTCGCTCCTTAGGCACTAAAACGCGGGATGATAATTACAATCACCTCTAAACATGCAATAGAAGCAGGGGTGGAATCTGGTTGGTTTAAAACTCCGTTGCAGTGTTGAGAAAACAACCGGGCCTCTGATGTTCAAGAGTGAGATTATGGGTGGGAAAGAGGGTGCACTGCCTGGTACCTGGTAGGTAAATTTGGAAAAAGAAAAGCTTCAGCTCGATACCATTTCCTCTGTGCCAAATGGGTTCATCCATGTCGTGTACTTTGGAAAAAGAAAGGCTTTAGCTTGAGACTACTTCCTCTGTGCCAAATGGGTTCATCCATGGCATGAAATCAGATTGTCCCACAGCCATTTTTGTGAACGACGAAGAATTCATCCAATCTGAACTATGTCCCTGTATTGGAACAGCTTTTAAATGAAAAGCACTCAAGGCTTCACTCTCTTGTCATGAATGCAAGACATGAGCTTTCACATCTGTTTATAACGAGAACAATTTCGTTAGGGAGGTAATTTAGGGGCAAACCTCAAATATTCCCCCTACTACTTGATTTGGTCCCTGATTTATGGTTGAATTGGATTTCTAAATTCTAACTTGAGTCGTTTGTCCATTTTTAATATGGATTCCATTCAAATTGTATGTTATGCATAAAAATGATGTTGTTTTGTTTGAAGCTTGATTTTGTTTTTCTGTCAATATTTGCTGAGAGTTCAAACATAAAACTCAAAGGAGAATTTTTGAAACCTTTGAAAACTTCAAGGGACTCAATTGACGTTTGGGTTTTAATTTGGGGGGTTGATTTGAAATTTGGCCAAAATGGAAAAAAAAAAGAAAAAAGAAAAAGACTTCAATGCATTTGAAAAATTAAAAGCCGTAAGACACGTAAACCGGCAATTACAGACCCTCCGATTTCATTTTCTTCGCTCTCTCCCGCCCTTCCTTACGTGTATATACGCCATCACCATCGCCTTCATTTAATATCTTTCCATTTCTATTTTTTTTTATAAATAATTAAAAAACAGATCTTAGAAGAATCGAAAATGGCGAGTCGGTTCGGTTTCCAATCGTCGACAATGATCGTGACAAACACACCGGGGGCTGATCTCGCACTCACAAACCTCGCTTACTGCTCACCCTCCGATCTCCACAACTTCGCCGTCCCTGGAACCAAGCTCTTCTTAGCTTTAGTCGCTGACTCCTTCGTTCTATCTCTTTCATATCCTTTACGTAGTTATACATTCATCTCGATTTCAATTTTGACTGCATTCGTATTTTCATTAATCTGATCATTAAGTTTTGATATTGTTAATAATTAGGTTTTATTTTGTTTTGTTTGCTCAAATCTACATGATGATCAAACAGAGAATTGACCGACTTAATCTTCTTGTTTGTTGTGATAATCTTTTTTGTTAGTATAAGTAAATAATCGCATTACCATTAAGTTATTCTTGGTCAAAAGTCTATGGTTTTAAATTTATTCTTTCTCTTTTGATGTCCGGCGAGTGACAAATGAGAAACTTTAAATGTGCGTGATCGTGTGTTGTAACAATTTTAGTTAGTTCTTTGTTGAAGTAATCACAATTTGGTGGCCTTAACTAAGACTTACTCCTCATGAAAATATTCGTCCTGGCCAAATTGCGCTGAATGCGATTCAGAGAAGGCACGCGAGGGTTTCATCTGGTGATACGGCATCTGTGCGCAGGTTGATTTGTTTTTATTTTTTTTTATTTTTCCTGTTCTTACGAATTGCAGTTTCTAATTGTTGGCTGGGTCAAATTTCTTAGGTTTATCCCTCCTGAAGATTTTAACCTTGCATTATTAACACTTGAGTTGGAATTTGTGAAGAAAGGGACTAGAAATGAACAGGCAAGTAGATTGGAAGTCCTGATCTTTTGATTATGGCGGCATTAAACTTTGTGCTGTTTTAGGAAGGGTGGCAGGATTAAGGGATTCTCGTTTTTTTTTTTTTTTTTTGCAGATTGATGCTGTTATTCTGGCCAACCAACTTAGGAAACGGTTTGCTAAACAGGTAGAGATTTGTGTCCCCTACCTGTTGTATATGATTGAAAATATTTCTTAGTTGCAGTCATGTTTATTTTGATTGGATTTTTACTGTTAATCTAGTAATTTGCATCATCAGTGATTGGAAAATGCCTTGAAGTGATCGAACTCTTCCTTTTTATGTGTTGGAATCACGAGTTTCATTTTTTCTCTTCTGGTTTTTCTTGCAAAACAAAAACTGGTTATTTGAAGCTTGCTGGTTGAGACTATATGTGATTAATTGTAGAAAGAATACAGGATTGGTGACACATAACTTTTGATCAATTTGAACTTAAAAAATGAACACCTGGATAAGATCAGACATGCTTGCTTGTACGATATCATGTGAATTTGACTTTTTTTGTGATGCCCATCTCTCTCTTGTGCACACACTTTTCTCATGCACATTTCTTTTCCATCTAAGGTAGCGTTCAATACAAGGTTAAAAATTGGAAGGGAAGTTCTTACAAGTGTAATTATTACAAAAGTAATTTAGAGGATGTAGAGTTAGTTTTAAGGAGGTTTGGTGAATTCATAAATTGAAGATTAAATTGTTAGTGAAAGGAGAGAAAATAATTAAAATATTACTAATGATTAGAGAAAGAAATAAAAAATTATCTGGATGTCTGTTAAGATAAAAAGAAGATAATGAAAAGAAATAATCTTGCTAGTGAGGTTAAAATTTTATCCTCCACGCGTGCAGGGTAAAACTTAACATCTAAAGGCATCAAGATGGGGGTAATAATTATCCCTCTCGATGTTTCACCTTTCCCATCAAAGGAAACCAATCTAACTTAAATACAAAAAAGGGCAATTTTTAACCTCATTACCTCTGGCCCAGATATATCTTGATTAGTTATATCTGACTGAGATTTCCATTTTTGATTTTGATCTATATTTGCATATTGTGCTTGAGGCATGGAATTTGACTTCGTGTATGCAGGTTATGACATCAGGGCAAAAAGTAACATTCGAGTATCACGGAAACAATTACATATTTACGGTCACTCAAGCTGCTGTGGAGGGGCGAGAAGATTCTAAAGATGCTGAGAGAGGAATGATTTCAAGTGACACGTACATTGTCTTTGAAGCATCAAATTCTAGTGGCATAAAGGTCAAATTTTGATATTTGTGTTGTGAGCTTGCCTTTTATTATCCATGCTTAACTTTTGTGGCTTAGGGCAAACCACCTATCTGTGGATTTTAATCATCTTAAAAAATTGTTCTTGGTAACCTGAATAGATGATGACCTGCTTCTTTTCAACTTTTGAATTGTTCAGTATAACATGTGTATGCCATTTTAAACTGTAGTTTCTTTTCTTTTATAAATAAATCTAACTAGAGGTAAACTGTAATGGTTTTTGACATGGATACTTCCATGGTTGTGTCATTCTAATCTGTGAAATAGTATCATCCTAGATTGCACAGAATTTGCACCTGGTAAATGCTCAGCATTACCAAACTTGGTGGAGAATGTGTGTTTGATGCCATGTTATTGCAGGCATCTGTGACAATTGAATCTATTTCCTTTGACTGTCCTTATTGCTCGGTCCTCTTTAGGAAAGTATTCCTCTAATCTGACATGCTGATCATAATTATAACTTGATGAATCGATTGGAACTTTATGGGTTTATTTACATTTATTGTCACACAGATTGTCAATCAGCGTGAAGCTGCCAGTAGCAACATCTTTAGGCAACAGGAGTTTAATCTTCAGTCACTAGGTATAGGTGGTTTGGGCGCTGAATTTGCAGATATATTTCGAAGAGCTTTTGCCTCTCGTGTTTTCCCACCTCACGTGACAAGCAAGTAATGCAGTTAACACTTCAAGTTATATTGATCCAATTAGGGATATGCGGGTGTTCTTGCTGTTAATAAGCATTTGATTTTCCAGATTGGGGATCAAGCATGTAAAGGGAATGCTGCTTTATGGGCCTCCTGGCACTGGAAAAACTCTTATGGCTCGTCAAATTGGAAAAATGTTGAATGGGAGGGAGCCAAAGGTTTGAAATTGATTTCACAGTTTTTTTCTTTGCATTGGTGTGCGTGTGTTTGTTGGTCTGTTAGAAGGAAAAGAATATTTGAACTTTTGCTGCTAGTGTCATCTGAAATTTGCTTTTACTTTTAATATTTATGCCTATCTCAACACCGGAGATTTCTATTTCATTTGATGTGTGGGAAGTTGGACAAACATATTAACATTGATGCTTTATAACACTTAGTATTCCTGTTTATGACTGATGTTTTAATATAATTGAGCTGTGTGCTATGTTTTGGTAAGCAGTAGAACATGTTTGGTTTACTTGTGTGTTCAGTGGAATGCTGTATTTCAGGATCTTATAAGCCATCCATCTGAGTTAATTGTTATGATGTATTTCTACCGTGTGTGAACCTTTTGTGGTTATGGTTTTACTTTTGAATTACATCTTATACTTTTTATGTGAAGGTTCAGATTCAAGTGTGAAATAGTATATTGTAATGGAACATCAATAATAAATATGTGCCTGTTATTGTTAATTACTGTTTAATGCTAGGAATCATTGTGTGATTTCTTTGTTTGGTAACACTGCGCTAGATTGTTAATGGCCCTGAAGTCCTAAGCAAATTTGTCGGCGAGACTGAAAAGAATGTTAGAGACCTGTTTGCTGATGCTGAAAATGATCAAAGGACCAATGGTAAGGGACCTCTTTGAGCCACAATATGATTTTAGATATTTTCTCCATGATGCTAATGCCACCACTACTTTCACTTTTCAGGGGACCAAAGTGATTTGCATGTAATAATCTTTGATGAAATTGATGCCATATGCAAGGTATGAGATTTCTAAACTCTTTGTTACCATTTATGCAAGTAGATTTTATTGCTTATGTTATATAGCTATCATTCCACTTTTTCAACCCCGCCACTGTCCAGGACAGGAGAGCCATTTTTAAGCCAATTAGTATTCATCTAATGGTGATTGAAAGTGTGTTTTTGATCCTGGTTTTGGTGGTTGGTAAAGTTTTTGCAGTTATCTTTCAAATATAGTGAGAAAATGGTAAGATATCCCTAAGTAATGCTTAGCTAATCTTCAATCTAAGGGTAGATTGTTAACATCTGTTCTGAAAAGAAGAAAAGTAGACGAGAATAAAAAGTGATAGAAAAGCACCATTGAAAAGCCAATTAAGTGCCCTGATAGTTTGGGGAGGGATTTTATTAAAAAGAATATTATTCAAGCACCTTTAGATGACAAAGTCATTTTTATCAAGTAAATATATTGTGTTACCTAGGAAAGATGTACCAACTTTGATTGTGGTTCTCTTCATGTATGTGTATATGTTAATGGCAAAAACTTTAATCAAGCACACATTTCTGGCATAGTTGCTTTTGTTCTAATGATAATCTGTCAGTGATGCAATGCTCATTAGTGTCCATGAATGTTGGAATTGAGGCTGTCCACATACATTATAAAAATGATAACAGAAGACACATGCATGTTTTATTTTTTGTTTTTGCAGTCAAGAGGATCAACTTGAGATGGTACTGGAGTCCATGATAGCATTGTGAATCAGCTTCTTACAAAGGTTGGTG